ATTTGCTTTTTCCAAATGTGAAAACAGCACCTGATTCTAAACCACAAAAAGATAATGTCAGTTTTAGTGAAAACAAATTTTGCCTCATACATTTTGAAATGGTAATTTCCTATTAATTCAATTAATTTTAGTTTCCTATCTTTTTATTTTTACAAAATGTCCTGGGTTCAGCAGCAGCAGTCATTTTTCTCCTTCTTGGTAGCTGGTGCAGTGCTGCGTTTCTGACTTTCAGCCTGGGAACAGCGCTGATAACACTGATGTTTGTAGTTGCTGCTCAGTAATGTTTACTCTGACCAAGGACTTTGTGAGTCTCCTGCTCTTGCCAGGAAGGAGGGGAAGCCGGGAGGAAGCAGAAACAGGACACTTGACCCAAACTAGCCAAAGAGGTATTCCATACCACAGCATGTCATGCCCAGTATATAAACTGGGGGCAGTTACCCAGAAGCACAGCTTGGGTGTGGCTGGGTATCGGTCAGCGGGTGGTGAGCGGTTGTATTCTCTTCCCTTGTTATTTCCCTTATCATTATTATTATTGGTGGCAGCAGTACTGGGTTTGTGTTATACCTTAGTTACTGGACTGCTCCTATCTCAACCCGTGGGAGTTACATTCTTTCGATTTTCCTCCCCATCCCTCCGGGAGCAGGGGGGAAGGAAGAAAGTGAGGGAAGTGAGCCTGCAGCTGAGTGGTTCTCAGTTACTGTCAGGACTTAAACCATGACACAAAAAAACCCTGCTGAAGTGTTTTATTCTATTCCATTTTATCAAGACTACTTCATTTTCAGGCTCACCTTTTTAGTCCTTCTGATACTTCTTAGTCTTCATAAATTTCCTAATCGAATAAATAGTGTTGCTGGTATATTGCGTTCAATAATTTAACATCCACTCATGCACTTTATCACTACCCTCTAAGAACAACTACAGGTGTGTAAAAGAAAGAAAAACAAAAGAGGAAAGAGGATAACTGCCCTCAGAAAGTAAAATAAAACTCTCATCCTGAAAGCTGGTCAAGGCAAAGAGGTCTCACATTTATACTTGAATTCACACAGGTTTTTCAAATTGGAGGGGAAAGAGAGGGAGAGAGACAGACAGACACACACTGTAAAGACGTGACAGGCTCCAAACTGACCACTCTTCACCATCCACCTGAAGAGACACATTTGCTCTAAAAACGGCCCCCTAAAATCAAAACTCTCTGCCTTCAAAACATGGGTTGGCATAACTGCCTTTGATCATAAGACCATAATCTAAAACATCCAAACAAAACCACCCCAAAATACAGCTCTTTTGCCCTCTTTTGCCCTTCCAATCTGCCCAGTTTTCTCAGTGTCAGCGATGTTGTTTCAAAACACAGAATGTTAAATATTCATTCACCTTTTGGTCAATCATGTGGCTCAACACAGAAAATACTAATTCTAGATGATAATGAATGAATTTATACGCTAAATAACTTGCCCAAAACCAGGCAAAAAAATGAGGCAAAGCCCAATTAGACCTCCTACTTTAAAATGTCAAACCTTGTGCTTCAAGCATAGAATAGTTTTTAGGAAAATAAAACAAAAAACCCAAACCTTTTCCTTGTATACTTTTTGTTAACGTGAAGTTATGTTAACACAAATATGCACAGTAACACTAGACTGCTTATATGAAATCACATAGTAACATTGAAACATCTTCACATATTTACTTTCAATACAAATCTCATCAATAGTGTGCATCCCAGCTCCAAGAAAGCCCTCTCTTAAGAAACTGTGATTTTGATGCTTACTTTGAAATGATTCTTTAATGCAAAAGCTCCCCGTATTTGCAAGATGTTATTTTATGCATCAGGTTCAGCAGACGTATAAAACTGTGTTTAGTACCTCTCTAGATGTACTAGATTTCAGAGCACTCATGCCAAAGCAGAGCTCTCTGGTCAATTTATTTTTCTTTCAGCAGAACTAGCATGAAAATATTTACGTACTATTAGTTTAGTGTATACAAAGAGCAGACAACTCACAAACATACTTCATCTCTCATTCATTTCATAACTGAAGCCTAAGCAGTCAGTTGGGAAATTAAATCCTACCAATTCATAAAATTAAATCCCACAGAAGGGGCCTTTGAGCAACCTGGTCTAGTGTGAGGTGCCCCTGCCTGGGGCAGTGGGGCTGGAACTGGATGACCTTAAGGTCCTTTCCAACCCAGCCCATTCTGCGGCTCTACGGTAAATGAGGGTTTTGCAGTCTCGGCACCGAGCAAACATTTAACAATTACTGGTTGTCCAACCACGGACCAAAACTTATTAACTGGAAAAGCCCCGTTTGCTTCACACCGCACCGCTACACCCTGCCGCTGACGCCAGCAAGGCTGCCCTTCCAGTCTCTCACGACAGAGTACGGAACACTCTGGACCGGCGCTCGCAGAACGGAGGGAGAGGGGAGCGGCTGCGAAGGACAGAGCACCGCGACCAGGGGCCGGGGCCGCACGCCGGGGTAGAGAAGCGGCCGCTCATGGCGCCCATCGCCGCAGCGGTGGAGTAAGCAGGAGGGGACCGCCGCACCCCTGCCCGCAGCTCCGTCCCTGTGAGGCCCCGGCAGCACTCACCGGGCACCGGCAGCTCGTCCTCCTCAACGAGCTCGGCCATAGCAGCAGGCGGCAGGCGCCCCATGCACGGCGGCTGCCGGAAGTAAACAGACGCCGTGCCACAGGCAACGGCCATAGAGAGCTGCCATGGGGAGGCAGCCCGGCCGGGGTTGTCGTGATTGCCCCCTAGCGGCCAGCGATGGGGCCGTCGCCGGGAGCCTGATGTTCCCGACATCTTACGTTCCACAGGGCCGGCTGTAGCTTGCCCCTGTTCCCTGCACGTACGGGGAGCACGAACCGGCCGCAGCACACCAGGCTGGGCTCACGGCTGCTGACGGGGGAGGAATTACCTGGAGTCGTATCTCCAGCTTTCCTTCCCGAGCACCTTCCCTGCGTACCTCAGCATCGTTCCCGTGTTCCTCCTCTGTAGCCTGTCCCTACCTCCGACTCTCGGACAGCCTTCTCGCGCCGGAGCTCTGCCAAGCCATTCCTCTGCTTTCTCCGCTGGGTGTGTGGAGGGGCTGCCCTGCCTCAGCCGGGTGAACAGAACGTAGATTGGAAACTTCATTTTGTCACCACAGGGAGCCTTCTGTCCTAAAAGACAAGTTCCCTCTGTTTGATGGTATCTCACCAGGATGTCAGTGTAAAGTCTTCTGATCGGGTGCACAAGAAGGCATTCAATCATCCACCCATCCAGGGGCGCTTTGGTAATGGCAGTTCTGCAGACCCCACCGGCACAGGTCCAGGTGCTTTGTAGCCTTTTAACTCCTTGGTCTAGTGGGAGGTGTCCTTGCCCCGTGGCAGGGGGTTGGAACTGAGTGAGCTTTAAGGCTCCTTTCAGCCCAAACCATTCTATGAATCTGTATTTAATGTGCAGTCCCAAACTGAGGTTTTCTGTTGTGTGTCGTTCTCCCCCCCCCCCCCCCCAAGAAATCTCCATGGTTAGTTATAGATTTAATTTCTTGCTATTTCTGTGCGTTTCAGATATGCTGAAAGAAGAAGGTCTTGCTTTCAAGATGATGTACTGCAACAGAGGCTGCAGCTGGCAGCCTGGACAACTGATTTAAGCCTTGTTTATGCAGAGTTTAATCAATACAGTTATTGGTGCACAAGATGAGGTATCCTTTAGTCTCTTTGAACCCCAATACCCCTCTGAAGCTTTCTTACTTGTTTTTCCTAAGTCTGGAGTGAGAAGATATCCAGCAAAAGCTGTTCAAAATAAAACTCAACATTGTTCTACGAAGTGATGACTGAGATTGTAGTTACCAGACACTGTGGTTGCCAAGAATATAAATGAGTTACAAAGCAATTAGGAAGACTGATGGGAAGGTGTCTGCAGCAGGATCCGGGATTCTGTCTGTTGAATCCTTCTTGAGGATCAACATCTGTCTGAGAGATGGGAGCCACCTCACAAAGTGGGACAGATCTCTGCTGGTATGGTTGCTGACCTGGTGAGATCCTTGAACAAGGAATGAATGGGAAAGGACAGAGTTACCAGCAGTGTCTGCAAATGGCTAGATGCTGAGCTCATGGAATTCTTTATTGGACACCACTCAGTGGAGTCTGAATGAGAAAGGCTGGCAAGGCTGCCTTTTTCAAGCATCTGAGTTGGTTTGGCATGAGCGGTCAGGGGTCCTGAACAAATCCCACCAAGAGTTATCACTCTGCATGACTTTTTCACGTCAGTTTCTCTGGGGAAGAGAGACTCCGTGTTTTAGTTATACGATCTTCATATTGCAATTTCAACATATCACCTTCTCTGACAGATGTGCCATCACCTTGATTTACACAAGTATGCCTTTCCTTACACAGAGGTCCTTCTACTTCCTCATTACTATGAGAAAGAAATGGCCATATTTCAAACTATCTACAGTGCAGGTGGCATAAAATCTTATCTGACAATTCTGTGTGAAGGTAGAAACTTAAATGGACTCACTTTAGTATTTAGCACTTGACCAACATCAGATTATATAGCAGGCAATTTAAAGTAAAGAGGTATGCAGGTTGCAGTATTTAAGTTTCTGGACCTTACTGAAGGCTGTTTAATGCTATTACAGCACAACTGAAAACTTGGTCCAAAAAACACCCCAGGAAAACACACAGTTTTTATTTAGCCTGTCTCTACTTTGTCAGGGCCCTACAGACACGAATAAGCCTTAATGGCCCTCCCCAGCCCCACACCCATGGGCCCAGGACCCCAGTTTTGGCTCAGTGCAGGTCCATCAGTCCCTGCACAAGCCGTATTAGGGCCAGGGAGCCTCCACGGTCATGGTCCCATCCCCAGGTGAGCCACCCTGCTTGTGCTGCATGCTGCATTTTTTGCACTAGCACATGCTCCTGTACAAATATTTAGCAAACATGAAATTGCCTTGAAATGGTGTTGACACAGGTATGATATGATGGGCCCACTGAAAAGAGCACAGACTGCAGGTCTGTGAGAAGTCTTTATCTGTAGAGTTTGACCAAGGAAAAGCTTCAGTGTCAGCCCCCACCAGCCCTGGCTGGGTCAAGAAAAGCAAAGACTTTGGTTCTTGATTTTGTCTTGTCTGCACAGCAGTGCAGCTTGCTCTCTGTTTCAAACGCCTTTGCTTCTCTTAACTTTATCTGTGGGACTGAGAGAAGTCTAACACGAACGGAAGATGCTGTTAAGTGTGAAGAACTTATTCAGTGCTGCAAAACTAACAATGACCAGCAGGCAGTGGCTGCGACAGTTTTGGTAAGCTTATCCTTTAGTTTTGTCTGGTGTCCAGTGATATTTAGTCAGAAACCTGGAGACAAAACCAGATGAATCTTATGAAGGAGTGAGATTTTCAGAAAAAGCCATGGTTTTTTTTTCTGCATTTTTAGTGCTCTTTTACTTCTCAAGGCAACAAGCTCTACATGTTCAGGAGATGGATTTTCCCTTTTATTGTTTGTGAAATACTGCTAATTTCTATCTACTCTGCAGGTACTGTAATCAATAAATAACTATCCAAATAAAGTATACAGGATATTCTTATGCATTTAGATAGTCGTCATGGTCAGTACTGGGAGGGAAGTTCTCTCCTTGGAGCTGCAGGGTGAATCTCTGCTTTGGTTTTGGTTTTTTTTTTTCTTGTCTCTGTATACACTGGAGACCTGCAGGAAAAGCATGATGTGAGATGAGGTTCACAGTTAACCATGTAGACCTGGCTCTGTGACCTGACTTCTGGTTCCTTCTTCAGCTGCCTATCCCCTGTGCCTGAAGAAGAGCAGATGTATCACAGTGTTTCAGTGAGCTGCTTCTCATGCTTGTCACATCTCCAGAATCAGGTTAAACTTAATTCCACATCTCCCTGTGTTTTCATGTCAGTGTCAGTAAGAACATTAACAGCATTATGTAACAAATTATTAGTGCTAGAAAGCAGTACGTGTGAATTTCATAATCACAGGAATCCTAATATGCAGTAAGTCATTTTTATTTATCATTTCTACAATGCATCAGAAGAAAAACAAATGTTTTCTGAGTTCTGTGATTTATTTGCAACAGTTTTAAAGTGGTCCTGAAACCTGGGTAATAATTTTTTAATGGATTTTGGATTTTCACTGCTGGCAATCAATGGGAACTTTCTCTGGTAAGCGGAAGTGATAGAAAAGCAAGTTTGTAAAACAATCGCAGTAAATCTGGTTTTCAAATAAACTCATCCAATTTGTTAAGCTCCTCACATAATGTTGTTTGTTATTTTTAGGGGGTTTTAGCGTTATATCATAATGTCGGCATAAGCTATCACCACTGTCTATGAGTATTACAAGTTCAGCACACTGTGGCTGATACTGCAGGATAACCTAGGATCTATCAGCCTGTTTTAATAGTCCAAAGTAATTGCTGTCCCTGCTAAGAAAGGAGTAAGCCAACTGCTTGACTTTTCAGTTCTGCCTGTTACATTTTAACTTTGGTATGTTGTCTCATGCTCCTTCTCTGGAATTTATTTGTCCACTTCTGCCCCTCTTTCAGAGAATGTGGGCAACAGGGAAGGGAATGCATTTCTTGAAGGTCATAGCAATAAAACAGAATCATCATGGGAACTCAGTGGTCAGGAGCAGACCTCTAGTCCTGCTTTCTGCTATATATCTTTTCTTACTCATGTCTTGAAAATCTCCGCGGATTGTAATTCCAAATCCTCTCTGGGTAACCAATTTTACTGCTTCACTATCTGCCAGTGCAGAAATTAGTAGTGGATATTTCTCAGTCCACTTCTCAATAGAGCAAAGACCAATGAACAGACAGGGCTTGGATGTGACTTTCATTAACACATCATGTCTAAGCTAGAGGAAATTTGATCTTGTAACTTCTATGGGTGATTATTAAAATCGAATGCCATGTGATTCTGAAGTCCTAAATCTGGCTGGCAGCCAGAATACACTGAATAAACACAGTGCACATGGCCAGAACTTCTCTTGTGTGCTAAGGACTAGAGCACATGGCCATTTTGTTGATTTTCTTTTACTTTCTTCCCCAGTGTAATGAAGAGATTTCATAAACATTTATAGAAATGTATTGGTGGGGATAGCAAGTGCCTGCTCATCTACAAAGCACTAAGGAAGGAGGGAGAAAGAGCACCAAGATCTGTGCCTCATATCCTGTGACCCCAAAGAACAACTTTGCAGTCTATACATAAGCTGTTTCACCATGCCTTGAATGTCTTTATGCATTCGGGTTTATTTGACAGGCAGCACGCAGTCAAGTCATCTGCATATCAGAAGGCAAAAGAAACTACATTTAATGTACAGTTTATAATACTATTTCAGACACTGTTATGGTGCTGATCAATATAGTGCATAGTGGCATCATGTGTCAGTCTGACAATAAAAGTTACTTAAACTGCCACAGTCCATCAGGCTGATCCAGCTGGGTCATAGAATCATAGAATCAACTAGATCAGAAAAGACCTTTAAGATCATCAAGTCCAACTGTTACCCCAGGACTGCCAAGTCCACCACTAAACCATGGCACTGAGGGCACTTCCAGGGACAGTGATTCTACCACTTCCCTGGGCAGCCTGTTCCAATGCCTGACCACCCTTTTGGTGAAGAATTTTTTCCTAATATCCGGTCTAAACCTCCCCTGGTGCAGCTTGATGCCATTTCCTCTTGTTCTATCACTTGTTACTTGTGAGAAGAGACCAGCCACCTCCTCCACTTCAGAAATGAAGTGTTCAAATGAAGGGACTGGGAGATATTTCATCTTCTTGCTCATTCGCTTTAGCATGAGTACAAGTCTGTATTGAATGACAAAAAGTGTGTATTTTTTGCTCTTTTGAGACAGGTATGGGCCACCAGCTCAAATGAATGTTCATCTGAAAGGTCGTGACCTCCTTACTCTGCAGAACTACACAGCAGATGAGCTGAAGTATTTGCTGTGGATGGCTGCAGATTTGAAGCAAAGGATAAAGTGCAAAGGAGAGGTAAAATGCTTTAATTAACTGTAAATCAGTTAAAAAAATCAAAAAGCCTTCTTGTAAAGTGTTCAGAAATATTCTTTAAATATTCAGAGGACTTGGCAAGTGAAAAGGTTAAACAGCTTTGCACAGCTAACTCCCTGTTATTGGCTAACCCCATCCATCAACACATGGTGTACATGCAGAACTAAATGTAAGAAATGGAAGACACTTTGCCGCAGGGGATTAAATTAGTATCAGAGTTCTCCTTAATGCTGGTTCAAACTGAGTGCCAAAATGCAATTGCTTTTGCCCCTAGAATTACTTCTTTCCCTTTAACCTTTCCACTGATACTAAGTTCCTTGAAGGGTAAGAAAACATAGCTATGGTTGAAAAAAACCCTCTGTGTAACTTTTCTATGCTGAAATAAAAACAAAAAGAAAGAAGTATTTCACACTGTAAATTGTATATAACTATAAAATTGAAATGCCTTCAATTTTCATGTTTCAGTATTTGCCTTTGATGCAAGGAAAATCTTTGGCCATGATTTTTGAGAAGAGAAGTACAAGAACAAGATTATCTGCAGAAACAGGTATATCTGAGCATTGGCACAGTCAGATTTTATATGAAATGGTATACTGTGAGTATGTACTGAAAACACTGTATGATTTTGTACTTAGCAGTTTACACTCAGGAGAAACCCAAAGTTTGAAAACAAAAATAGGAAAAGAACGGTAGCTAATTTTGTTTCACCTTGCATATTAATGTAACAGGCTCATTGCTTAAATCACTGAAATTTCACCAAATCATTCCAAAACACGATAGATGAGAAATAATTTAACAGGCAGAAGCAAGCATTTCTGGAATAAGCTCCTAGTTGTAGTGGCAAGATGTACATTTCCTAACATTTATTTTTGTAAGCATCACAAATTTAATTCTTTGCAGGCTCTAATAAATATTTTTCTTATGTATTATGTATTACCTTTGTCACATTTCAGAGTATTCAGAGTATGTAATGACTTGATATAAACTGGGGGGGGGGGGGGAATTAACAAATTAACATGATTACCTACAAGGGAAGATAACTTCATGGAGACTCCAGGGTACTAGCCTAATAGGATCGGGCACTGGAACATTATTCTTTTAGCATACAGTCCTGTGAACACTGAAACGCATACATAGCTTTATTTACATGGTAGTTGTTCTGAAATCAATGGAACCACTGAAAGAAATCATTCATGTGCTTACATGTTAGCAAGGAATAGCTATGAACTGGTGACAGAAGAAGGAAGGAAAAGCTTGCCCTTCTCTCATTTTAATTGACCCAGCATCCTTTAGGCTGACTTCTCCCTAGCAAGGGGGCAGGGAACTTGTTGAATATTCACATTTCTTTACCAGGTGTGAGTGAGAAGATAAAAATAATGGAAAGAAGAAGCAGATCTGTTAACTGCAAGCATGTCTGAATTTGCCTTTATATCCCCTGGCACAGCCATTTACCTGCTGATCCTGCTCTTTATGTTGCTTTCTGTTTTTTCCAGATAAGCAGGATTTATGAATGGGTTTTTCTTGTTCATTCCCTGTGTATGAAGACCACCCCCCTTTTGATTCCAGAGGGTTTAGTTCAGTTTCTAGTTGCCTACCATAGTGGTACATGGGCAAGTAATGACAAATTCTCTGAATCTGTTTATCCCTCATGCTTCTCTATTCAGAGGGAAGCATAGTTTAGTCCTTGGCTTTTGAAGGCTTACGCAATGGGGAAGCTCAGGAAGGTTCAAATGAATTATCTTAAGGATGGGAGTTAATGTACATAAATTCATTCAAGAGGGATTAAGCCCCAGTGAAATAACCCAAATTTATTTCTGAGCTTTCACAAGGGAGTTTAGAGCAGTTTGAATTCTGTGCGTGAACTTCACACCTTCAGTTAATTGGTCGTAAGTCCCCTAAGCCTAAGACTTTGTTTCAAAGGCAGACTCAAGTTTTTTCTGTCCATAGAAACTCTGTACATTTCAGCTGCTTTTTAACATACATGACTTCTCCCTTGGAATTTCTACCTCAAAACAAATATAGGACCACATGTATTTCTTTTAGCAAAGTAAGCTAATTTAATACCAATTTTCTAACGTCCAGTGAAAGTGGACATTGAAGTGCTTATTTATAAGATACCTGAGTCTTCTCAAATAGCGTTTCCCACCCATTGCACCTTCAGCATCTTGAAAGAGGTCACTTATGGGACAAGGTTCTGGTGATGAGATTAATCTAAACAAACTTTGCAACTCTCAGGAACAACTAAATGCAATTCAGTGGTTTTCATTTTGAAGGATTAGAGGCTTGGAAAGCACTGATTACAAAATCTGCTCTGTGCAGTGTCTAAGAGATTGTTATGGGAGGCAGTGTCAAGGGCCATAACAAAGTTCAGGAAGATAATACCCACTGCTCTCCTCTAATCTACCTGGCCAGTCATTTCATCATAGAAGTTTATCAGGTAGGTCAAGCATGACTCCCCCTTGGTGAAGACATGCTGATTACTCCCAATGATTTTCTTGTCCCTAATCTGCCTGGAAGTGGTGTTCAGGATTGGCTGCTTCATTGCCTTTCCAGGAATCAAGGTGAGGCTGACTGACCTGTAATACTCTGGGTGCCCCTTCTTGCCTTCTTGAAGATAGGGGTGACATTTGCTTTTTTCCAGTCTTTGAGCACTTCTCCCAGTAGCCAAGATTGATCAAAGAGTATAAAAACATGAATTTGGAATGCATTGTAAGAGAATAGTTGATGTTTGCCGCTTTTCCAACATACTATGCTCCAAAATGTTTATCCTGATGACATTGCAACTGTACTGAATAATGTGCAGCTTCTTGTGGTATAATTCATTACCCCTTTACTCTCTTGAACAGATACAATCTTGTTCTAATACATGTTTCTGAAAACCATATTGTTTTACTATTTCCAAGTGTAAAGGTGTTGTGAGTTTAATGAAGAACACAAGTAACTTCCATAGAGTATTTGACAAATCCAGTTTTGTGGAGCCTACTAGATTTATTGCTATCCCTGGCTATTATATAGGAAAATGTGACATCTTTGCTATTGTAGTAGAAAATGTCATCTGTTTGCAGTCAGAATCCCATACCCATTCTGCATAAAATCTTGTGTACTTTTTAAAACAAAGGTATTGCACATGGTCATATATTACTTGTAAAGTAAACATCCTTGGGCATGGCATAAAGTTGAATGCCCTGGTTTTGTTACAACTTTAGTGTAAAGTTTCTGATTGTCACTGTTACTCTTAAAATATACAGTTGCAGTTATGTTTTAGTGAACAAATCATAAACAAATCGAAACATTTCACAGATGCTGAACGAAGACAATATGTCACAGAGTAGAAATGGAGAGGAAGCAATACAGGGAGAAAAGCTCTGTATGCCTTCTTTTGCTGTGCACTGGAACATACAAGAAATTGTAAGTCCTGGCAGGCAGTGAGGAAACTAACAAATTCAGATGCCTTGCAATATAAAAAAGGATCCTTCCTTGAGTTTGAGAAGATGGCTGTGAATGTCTTTTGGTGAAGGTGCGGCAGCCCCTCTACTGTGTATCCAGTGTGTGCACTGGAGGATTCACTTTGGCCCCACAGTGTAGCAGGGATGGCTTGGAATAAAGATTTAACTTATGTCTGTACAGCACTTGTATCCTATGTGAAAGAGTGGACTCAACAATGTGCCACAGCCTGAGACATAAAACTGTCCTTTTTTGAAAACTAACAGTTGTGAGAAGTCTGGTCATGAGATAATAAACTATTCTGGCTCTGCAGTATGAACATTTAATAGAGTTTGTTGAGGATATCAATATTCATATAAACACTTAGCATGTGGCTTTGGATATGACCAGCTTGTGACAACAGGGAGGATTAGATCCTCCACTTTAACACAGCCCTTCAGCATGTGTGTATTTGCTGAATGGGTGCCTGCATATCTTCAAAAGTCATCACTTTTTTTCTTTCTACCGATAGTCAGATGAAAGAATCTAAAGCAAAGATTCTGTCTCTGCAACTATATACAAAGCTAGAGCACAGAGCTCCTGTATTTCCAGATGGAAAGTTTTGGATGGAAATACGATCCCAGGCCCTGCACAGATGGCCAGTTCAAAAGCAAAAAGCCCAACACATTAAGACTGTGCTATATACACAGGCTCCAGGTGGTGGCTCTGACTGGGCTGCCTGACATCTGGCAGTTCTGAATAAATGACCAGATTCCTCTTCTACCTGAGCATCATTTATAGAAAACAGAACATGTCCATGGGAGCCTGCCTGTACTGTGAAACATCTACCAAATATATGTATTTAGAAGCCTAAAATGCAGAGCTGTTGTATTGTGTGTATCTTGGGGAGATAAATCACTGACATAATTGTATATGGCTTCAAAAAAACTCACAAGAAGATGGATGGAAAAAGTTCTGACAAACCAGATTTCGTCCTTGAGGAGGAAATCCTTAAAAGGATTCCTTAAAAACTTGCACTGCATAGATAGGCTGTCATGTCTAGGCGACAGTTTGCACATGCATTCCTATAAATACAGTGCTTGTTTCTGAGCTGCAGAGAGGCAGAGAAACTATTTGAGGAAACCTAAACTTTTTTTTGCCTTACTACAAAAAAGATTCTGAATAATCAGTGAGGGCAAAGCAACCAGGAAACATATAGTTTTTTTCTAACAGAAAAAAAAATAGAATAAATGATGCTTCATTCTTAAAAAGTTTGTTGGGTCTGACTCTGATCTTGTTAAGATTTGGAGCAATCCTTAATTTTGACAAAGGGAAAGTAAAATCATCCCCATTCAATAAAATGGGTATACACTGGCTGGATAGAGCAGAGATTTGCCCTTCAGGTCGGGGCTGGAACACCATCAATTTTAATCTGACTTTTAAGGAAATGGAGGGAGAAAAAAAGCCAATGATTTGCCGGTATTATTTTTACCTATTGCATTTTGAAGTCTGGAGACTTGCTGAACTGATGCCAGTGGAAAACCCCACTTCAACCCTGCTGCCCCCATGGAATGGAAGTTAATAAGGGCTGCCCTCTGTCAGGGGCCCAGTTGTGGGGCCCCATCCTGCCACCTGAACCTAGTTGCTTAGTTTTATCCATGAAAGGTTTCAGTATTCACTCCTGGTTTAATCCTTATTTGAAGAGTAGCTGTAGGATCAACTTTTTATTCTTTGACAGACCTGCTCAAACCTCATCTTAAAGCTGCAGTACTGGAGCTGTCTGCAGTGCCATCTAATGGCTACAACCACGTCCAAGAGATCATACTTTGATAGAAGGGTGTGAGTGTCTTTGCTCTTCTGTGCTATATGCAGCCTTTTTCTTCCTGGCAATGAAAAAAGGATGGGCTTCCTTCTGGATTTTTGTCGCAATAAAATACTCCCCCATCACGTTGTCTCAAAAAGGTTGGTTTATCCGTACCGAGATTCTCTGGAAATTTCCTCCACCATGGATGTTAGTGACACAGCAAGATCTCCCTGACAATTTCTCTACTAGAAGGGAGTTGTTCTTATGCAGAACATCTTACCCAGTGTGCAGAAAATGCCTCACAGGGCTGCCTACAACCCAGTTCAAACCCTACGCTTTGTATGTCCCCAGTTGTAGGACCCGTGTCCAGTGCTAGGTTTATGCTAAATCATATGATACAGTTCATAAAACAGCCCCCCCCTTCAAGCACCATCCTCTAAGTAGCCATGATGGACTTTACACTGAGATTCAGTGGACAGAGGCTTTAGACTTAACCCAAGGAAAAGCAGGGAGACTCAAGTGCTGCTGAAGGAAAAGCCGCCTCTGTCAGCTGGTTGCTTGTGGTAGCTTTTTAGCGGTAGTGCAATGGAAATCAGGCAGAAGAGAGCCTGAGAGCTGCCCTTAGCATGTAATTTGTCTTTATCCAAAATACTGTCCAGACACCTTTTAAGTTCCCCAGAAGTGTTTTATATTCTTAAATGATGCACAGGTCTTTCCATGGCTTCCTGTTCAGGACAATTCTTCAGACCTTATCCATCCAGTTACTTGGCTCACCTTGTAAATTCCTATCTATTGGAGTGTGGAGGGGTGCTGGCAGTGACTAAGATCTTTCCTTTTCTCTCTGTCACATTATCATTTTTAAGGCACTTGGTCATTTGTGACCAAGCTCAAGTTTGTTACAGTATGTAAAGGAACTTCAGATTTTCTATCTGAGTGACAGTACTTGAAGCTTCTTGCAAGGATGTGGGATTACACCTAGTGACTCAGATGGCCCTTCTAGAATGCTAAGCCCCTTGAAGTAGAAATTCAGCATGATGAATGGATTACCTAGCTCTTAACAGGGACCCACAGTGATGCTTCTGGCAATACCTAGCCTTTCAGCTTGAATGACTGTTCCTATGAACACAGATCAGAACTCATGCCTTAGGATTTCAGCAAAGCATCACATTTGTGTGATTTTATTCCAAAATGCATTTATTTGTGTCTTGTCGTCAGACTTCAAGTGTTTGAAACATCTGGATACCCTGCTGAGTTTTACTTTTATTGCTGTAAATGTCTTTTACATGAAAAAGATTTTTTGGATCTTGGATGTAAATAAGATGTTCTGGTATTTAATTTCTTTTTTTTATTTGTCCTCACTGTAGGATTTGCTCTACTTGGAGGACATCCTGCCTTCCTTACAACACAAGACATACATCTGGGCACTAATGAGAGTTTCACAGATACAGCAAGGTTGGTAAAACATCAGTTGATTAATGACGATGCATTTGGTAGTTTATCAGGCTGAAACCTGTCTTATAGAATGTTGGAAGCTAGTATTTTCATTCTGGATAATGTCAGAAGGCACTTCACATTTCTTAAATTTTTACAGATCAGTTCACAAAATGTGTAGCTCAGTACCCTCACAGCCACTTCAGCTCTCCAAAATGAGAAATATTTTTATCAAATTTGGCATATAGAGTGCTAATGAGAGTGACAGTCACACAAACAGAAACATTTTATGTTCCTCAGTAGTATAGTTCCACTGATGACAGCACATATATTCAAACAAGACTAGAACCTTCTAGTTCTGTTGCTCCTCATGGAACTAGAAGTACAGCTCACTGGCAAATAAAAAAGCAAAATCAAGAAGCAAGGACTTTATTTATCCTAGTTAGGGCAGCTGCTGATGGGTCTTACCCTATCTGCTGTGACAGGCTGCACTGAAGGCCACTCTCATCCCCCTGTTTCAGCAGCATCAACACTTTGCAGGCAATTTATGATTTCATGTGCCCTCTTCCACAGCTGTACCCACTGTCAGGACTGGAGGCTGGGCTATGGCGTTGTTCTATAGGGACCCTTAGAAGATCTTATTCATGCCCATTCCCACATGCATGTAAGGATGGGTAGCTAGCAAACTATCCTCATCGCCATAACAGGGAAGAACTGAGCTCAGGCTTTTTATCTGGTGGATTCTCTCCAGTGTTGCAGAAAGTAGGCAGAACATAGCACTCCCATGTGTTAAAGACTCATCCATCCTCATTATTGTGCTGCTTTCTAGGCAGCCTTTTTGCAGCCTGAGTCAGGCTTGTTGCTGAAAGGTTAGTTGTCTCAGAAAGGTCCTTTTTATTCTTGTGAAAGACATACAGTGTCAAGCTTGTCAGGCACAATTCAAAATATCTCATCAGCCAGATGAGGTTCCACTGCCTTTGCTGTATACTACAGTTTTCACAGTCAGTGGAAGAGGTGGTCTGAGAACTCTGTTGCTGTTCTCCCTGTGGTGAAATCCAAGGAAAACATAAAGAAAAGACCAAACATTTGAACATTTTAAAGTTTCCTTTCTTGCTTTTAACTACTGAAGTGGAATACATATGGGTGTTGACAGTAGGAAGTAAAAATTCCTGTCTCTTGAGGTTTGAAAGTACTTAGCTTCCACTCCCTGCTGGATATATAACTCTGCCAGTATCAATATAAGCTGCAGTGATAGGGCTCAGATGTTTCAAGAAAAGTGTGTCCCACTGCTTTGCTTTAGTAACTAGAAGTTTAAAAGATTCAAACAATGTATAGACTCATGGACCTACAAAGGGAACAGATTAATCCGAGACTTAACAGCCAAGTCTGAGGTACATTAGGCTACTGTGTCCAGTGGCCACTCTGTCCAGTTCAGCATTGCTCAGACACCGCCATGGAATTCAAATACATCCCCTCAAAAGCATTCTTCATACATCATGGGACATACCCACAGTTTAAGCAGGGAAGCTATAGCTTCATCAAAGTGTGCTATTTAAATGCTTCAGAGCATATGCATTCCAGCTACAGCTCTACTGGTTTGAGAGCTGGAGGATTTTTCAAGTCAAACATACTTAGCTTACTATGTCATAGTGAAGGTGAATGTGAAACCTATCAAAGGTAAATCCCCCCCAATGATGTAAATAAGTATTATTCACCAAGTGTCTTGCTTCCATTCTCACTGGATCAGAAACACAGTAAGCTACAAGAAATGAGGCAAGAAGTAGAAGTAAGAAAATCTTCCATCCGGAGGAGTCTCCATTCTGTGGAGGAAGCTCCCACAATTCCCACTTCCCATGCAAGCCTTCAGCCCCACTTTTCTCTGTCACTGCTTGCTCTTCCAGGGCAAGTCCCTTTTTATGACCCTGACCTGGGGTTTTTGCTCCTCTGCTGAGTCATATCACTCACCTCTGCGGATTGAGGGCTCCCCCAAGATCTTACAGAGCCCCACGTGTTCTGCTTCACTTCTGCTCTCATTGGCAGAATTATTATTGACTTTACACAATCAAAAGAACAACCTGAGTGTTAATTCCTTGGCATTTCTTGTGATTGAAGGGTAAGATCCCATCTTAATTCATTCAGTTAATGTAAGAATAAACAAAAAGAATGCCTGTAGTAGGTCCAGAGGGTATTTCAAATATTTAGAGCCATGTATTTAGGGCTCTGAAGGCATTAGAAGTATTTGAAATTGAAACTTAAAGCAAAAGGGGCACAGATCTATAAAAGTCACAGTTTTTATTATAATTGCTGCAGGTAATGGTTGAAAGAATTTCTGCTGTGAACACACCTTTAGTGATTTATAACCTGCTTATAAATCAGTTCTTCCATGCTTCACAAGACATTTACATTTATGCTGACACAGTAGCAAAAGTCACCTCCCATAAAAGAGCTCTAAGCCTTTCAGTGCTGTTTAGTATGTCTGATATATTACATGAAATGAAAGATAAGTACTGTATTTTCCACTATAGAGCAGACCCACTGTGCACCACTATAGCTCAGGGGCCATAAAGTTCAGTGACAGCTGCGAAGAACTCTTAGGATGATTTTACCAGTCCACTGGCATTATTAGGGGATGGATCTCTGCATCTATGGGGAATGGGGTTTACTTCTCACTGCTTACTGAGAACACATCCACCATGTGCTCCTGTAAGACTATGAACGACAATGAAGTAGTCTTGTCAGAAATTAAAACCTGTGTGCTTTCACAACAAAACCAAAACTACCTTGGATAGCAATATTCTACTAGAAATATATGCAAATGTCCCATTTGCAAATTCAGAAATCAGCCACACCAAAAAAGAATACTTTTACTTGTGTTTAATTTTGGATTCCTCAGAGGATACACTTCAGTAAAAATTTCCAGCTTTCCTCTGTAGAAATAAAAGTTATTTTGAAAAGAGAGACATGCAGCATTCTAATACACTTATATATTTCCAAGCTTTAGAATTTTGAAATTGATAGGATCACAGTTTTGCAAAAAGAATGAAAAGAGAGAAGGACCTTGTAGTTGGTGATAATACAGGAACCTTAAACCAAAAGTCACCTGATGAACCTGTGTTTACTCCCGCTCACCTTCCAAAACTTTGTCTTTACTAAAGACTCTCATCCAGCCAGGTCTGTTTTTCGGTGCAATCCCAGCCTCATATGGTTTCCTTTGAGTTGATTACAGACTTCTTCATCTGCTGAGACAAGTTTTGTTTTGTTTTGCTTTGCTTTGTTTTGGTGTTTGGTTATCTTTGGTTCTTTTCTTTTTTTTTTTTTCCTGAGTTCAATTTGGTTTTGATTTCACAAAGAATAAACCTGGTTTCCTCCTGAGTTTCCTACTGTAAGATATGACATCTAGAAATGCTGGCAGAAGGACTGCCTGGAGTCTTGCCACTAAGTGTCTAATAAAGTCTAGTATCTGCTTTCAACAGCAGATAGAAATTTTTTTTCAACAGAAAGAAAATTCACCAGTTTTCACTAGTTGGTAATTGATTAGGACTGAATTTTCTCTGCTGGCATTCCTCTAAAGGGACCATCTTCTCACTCATGTCAGGTTAGAATCAGTTGTACTGCCATCCTAAAAAAAAAAAAAATAAATAAAAAAAGTGGAGTCTAAGAAAAATGGGCTATTTTCCATTGTGATTGCTGGTGGGACTGGCTATGTATTGCTTAGAGTGGGCACCTGTTAGATGGCTAACAAAAGGAGCCATGCATGCCATTCCTGATGACTAGTTAAGAGCAGAACAGATTTTCCACAGTTGCATGCTTCAAGCTAGAATAAACACTCAGCGAAAAAGAAATGAGCTAAAAAGAAATAATGACATAAACAGCAGCTGTTCCAATACCTTGCAATCAGTAAATACCTTGTTCGATTCCTCCTTCTCACTTATAGCTACTATTGGCAGTCTTTTCTTCCAAGAGAGCTTCCCAAGAGGGAACCTTGTAATATTTTATTAGAGTTTTGCTTGTGTGAGGAATGTCCAGTGTCAGTAGAAAATATTTGTTACTGACTTCATCATGAGATTTGTCTGTGTAAAGGCAACAGCATTAACAGCTGCATTTCCACAAGACAAGATGCCCGAATTCTTGATGGCTAATCAGGAAGACAGATAGATACCACAAGGATTTTGCATACTCTTCTATTCAGTCTCTTCCTTGTTTTATTTTAAGGTCCTATTAGAAATAACATGAAAACACACAAAATACTACTTCAAAGTCAGGCTTCAGGGCCTGATTAAAATGCAGAAATGCAGAGAAAGGCAGAGCTCCAATCCATATTTAATTTCTTTAAAGAATTCAGAGCACACCGCGTATACTATGCTAATCTCTCAATCTTTCACACTTTGGCAAAATGAGGTTAAAGCCAGAGTGGCACAGTGACTCCTGCGTGCCCCTATCCATATACCGAATTTCAAATTTGGGCATTACTTTAACACTGATATCATGTGTTTCAACACAGAAGTTTTTAAGTAGGAGAAAGAACACGCCAGCGTTATTAGCCTCCTGTTTCTGTGTTCATTAAGGTCAGTAAATAATTGAGGTAATCTAAAACATATCTGTGTTTCTGATCCTCACAAAGGTCAGGCTACCATACACGGACACTGTAATAGTCAGTCAATGATACATTTGCTCTTTGCTAAAAATCTCAAGAAATCTTATACTTTGTCTCTTCTGAAGCTACCAAATTCTTCAAATGTTACAGTGTCACACAATCACTTATCTTAGTTTGGATACCTTAATATTTATTGATGTTCTGTCTGTAGCTACAATCAAACACTAAAGAGAAGAAAACATAAAATACAGTGGCAGTTTTCATTTACTTGCTATAGTTTGTTAATAAGTAGACCTGCTTACCTATTAGAAGTTTATTAAATGTCTGCATTTAAGTTTGTTATGCAGACATGATAAATTATTCAGATAGCTAAAAAAAAAAGTGATTCATTGCCACTTCTCATTAATATTGATGTGTTGCACGCTGAAGACTGCAGCAGGGCTGTACTTACTATATTTGACTTGGGTATTTTCTGCCATCCTCCAGGGTGCTTTCCAGCATGACAAATGCAATCTTGGCTCGAGTTTATAAGCATAACGATCTGCACCTAATGACGAAACAAGCCACTATCCCAATAATCAATGGATTGTCCGATTTACACCATCCTCTCCAGATTTTAGCTGATTACCTAACTCTTCAGGTAACAATATAGTCCCCCTTTAATAACAATTTTCTTTTTCTCCAAGTCTTAGTAAGTATTTTGGGAAGTCAGGTTCAAAAGCATTTATTCTCAGGGTTTTCTTTTAGGCTGCAGTTATATGGCACTTGTTATTTGAAGAGATACTGATCCAGCAATATAATTAAGAAACTTTTTTATTTAAAACAACTACCTAGTCCTACCAGCTGTAGTGGGACTGAAGGGACTGAGATGAAACATAAAATTAAGTACTTCATTGGAATTAGGCTGCAATTCAGAAAATGGGCAAGGAGCTTTGCATATTACATAAAAGTAATGTAACACTTTTTGGCTCAGTCAAAGCCAGTGGAAGATTTTCCACTGACTTAAAAAAAAAAAAAAAATCAGTGGTTCACTCTTGATTCCTCCCTAACCTATGAATAGTTTAAAAGGAATCACTATCCTGTATTAGGAAACTGGTTAAAGAAATTTGTTTCTAAAAGCCACTTAATGCTACCAGTGCAAACACCTAAAGTTCAGGCACTTAAACCTATTTAAACTTTGCTCACTTCAAGTAATAGTTAAAAAAAAAATCATATTTTGTAGTTTAATCTAATGCAATAGTTGATTTGACAGCAGGATAATGTTTCACACATAGAATACCAGATGTTTATCTGTGAACAAAAGGACTATGCTGTTTTACAATCAATTGAAGAACTGGCTTATAAAAAAAAAGATTATTATACTGCAATGCTGGTTGACAACTATGATGAACTCCTCTGACCTTGTTTACTTTCTGAATGAATAAAAATCACACTGCTTGAAAAAGAGAGGGCAGAACAATTTCCTGATCTATTCAGCTGTGTTTCTCAGCTGTTGAAGACTTTGATAAGGGACATTCAGTCTGTGAAAAAGATCTAGAGAGAGTAATAATAAATTATTCATGCCTTAAACTTTAAATACTGGAAGACTCATGTGTTTAGTGAAAATTGCTTTTTCGTTGCTTGGATTAGTATTTTTTTGTAAAATTTTCAATACTTGAAGACACCAGCAAAAACTGGTGAATTTGAGACTAAAATGCTCCACATACCCCAGGATAAGGTTCGTTTGGGAGATCACATTGTGCCAGCCTTAATGAACTGTTCAAATTACATAAGACAGTATGCTGTAATGAGACCATCATCAATCTTTATATGTCAGAAGTTCATTTAAACACTGTGTGCAAGTGTAAACCAGGTGAATCTTGTAGTTGTGTTATATAGAGGCTTCTGTCTTGCAAACAGCTTATTAGCATTTTATCACTTGTGAATAACAAGCTTCAGGAATAATCTGTGACTCAGCCTACACAACTATTGGTATCTCTGCCCCTAAACTTGATTTTATCCAGGTCGCTGACCATAGCACCAAGGTTCAGGGTGCTGTTGCCCTGTTCTCCATCTCCAGGCAATGAAGAGAGACCACTGAGCATCAAAACCACACTCTAGAGATGCATCTTTCTCCATTGATACTAGGGGGAAACCTATGGAGATGAGCAGAATCAGTGCATGCCCTGTTGATCACCCTCTGCTCCACCTCCATTGTGTCCTTGTACAGGGCAGACATCTCCAAGTGAACATGAGCCCACAGACTGGACTTTTCTTCGTGTTGAACGCCTCGGGCAACAGCAGATTGTTGTCCTTGTTTCATCAAGCACTGGGGAGGACATCTTTGGAAAGAGTGTCGCTGCTTACTTTACATTATGATACATTATGAGGAAACACAACCACATCACTTTGCGCTCAAACAAAGACACGTTTGATGTGCATATGTATCATTACCAAGTGAGCACTTACAGAGACCTCAAGGAACGGCTCAGCTTTTGGACAGTCATGGAAGCTTTTTAAAATTTACAGCACTTTCCCAGTCAGCCTAATAAGCAGAGCTGTTTCCTCCATCTGTGTCCAACTCTCTCCTAGGCTTTCCAGCATGTTCCTCAGCCCAGAGTTTGCCAGGAGGTCTTTAGAGGGCAGCTGGTGGCTGCCACTTCACCAAGGGCATGCTGCACCACCGGTTTCTGACCCACTATCCATTCTTCCTTTCTCACCCAGGAGAGAGGTTCAGGCAGGGGGGAGCTCTCGGTTACCCTCAGCGCACTGTGGATGTTGACACTCCCTGTTCTTTCCTTTTCTGACCTGCCTGCCCACCTCCTTTTTTCCCCTGTGCACTGTATGTACACTGAAGTGAAGAAGACTGGTCTTAAGCCAGTAGCATGTAATAAAATGGCATTTTAATCTTATAATAAACTTTAAGAGGTCACAGAAGTAGGAATAACACTTAAAGAAGTGTGAGGCCCAGGGTCTAGTTGTTACTTACCAAGATCAAACTTCTCATGAGATTTTCAGCAGGGTAAAAAGATGTTACCCAAGAACCGCCTGCAGTAAGGTTAATATGGGGATGTTGAATAGTACCTCTGATTCTCTAAATTAATTGAAAGCTCATATATGACATTTCACTGCCTTTCTGCTATGCAAAGGCAATATATTTGGCTCATACACACATGCAAAATACAATAGTGGCACAGACTGCTAGCCTTATATATAAATGTAACTACAGATTATGCATAGCTTATTTATCTTTAAAAATGTCTCTTCCTTATCTCTGTAAATATTTTCCTGCCTGTATTTGCTCCTTCCTCCTGTCAGTACATAACTAAAATTTACTTTCTTTTCTCTCTCTTTTTTTCCCTCCTGCTGCATTGCCAGTGGAGGACTGCATGCACTCTGGCCCTCTTCATGCTTAGCACATTTTTATTCTTCCATTTTCTAAATCCTATTCATTTTATCACATGCCTTCTTGAATCCTCTTCAAGCATCTTCTCTTTGATCTGAAACTGCCTAATTTTCTGGTTTATTTTGTTAAAATGTATTCTTTCTTGTGACTTCTAATTCCCTTTTCACAGGTGCTTTTTAGTGTAGTTATTTTATTATAGTCTCTTGCATTCCCCAAACAATGTGGCTGGTTTATTTTCAGGGTTGTCAGTTCACGTTCTGTGTTCAGGCTGTTCTTGTCATATCAGAAAGTGTGCTTTGTCATGAATACTGGAGCGAGATTCTTCAGGTTCAACATCCTCTTGCCCAGTGCCTTCTTCTTGAGCAACTTGGAGCCCCCCACATGTTTGACATCTAAGCTGACTCTGCCCTTTAATACTGTGGTCAGGTTTAATGCCCTGTGTTATGCTAAGAGGGATGTAGCATATGTGCTACCCTCTTTCTTAAAAGTTGTGTCGATCTGAGTTTGCTCTTGATCTATAACCCACTAGAAACAGTTGTAAACATTATGCAACGTGATTTTGAGGGTTTGGGGATTTGGCCTTTAGAGACCACGAGTGCTGGTACTGTGCACATGCAGAGCCACTTCTCTGTGCTGAAGGCATGTAACAGCCCCTTGCTGAGCCCACCCGGTACCTCTCAGTTTCCTAGGCAGAAGCTGTGGCTCACGGCTTCTGCTCTGTGAAGCTTGGCTGGAGGACAGCATCACACAATTTGTATTTCAGGGACAAGCAGGGAACTGACATTGATTCAATTGATAGTAATGTCATTGGCCATATCAGCTAACTTGTAGTTGACTGCAAGATAGCCAGACTGGTAATTAGAGTGGATCCATATGCCACTAGCTTTTTATGTCACTGGTCTGATGGGGAATGCCTTTTTCAGAAAGAAATGGTTGGCATAAGAAATACACCAGTGATTTCTTTTTAAGAAGTGTAACTAATTACAGTGTTGCCCAGCTTGAAGAGGGCTGCCATATACCTGAACTTCTCTTCAGTCTGTCACCCAAAGAGCTCAGATTTTTATAGTCTTCAGATTCACCACCACCACCACCACTATCATCATCATCATCACCATCATTACTGTAACAATTAGAAATCCCAACTAAGATCTGGTCTGATCCTTTAGGATATACTGTTTCAATAAACAAGACAAAACCCAGTGTGGGAGTAAGAAAGATAAATGGACCAGCATCTGCCTTTAGGTCAGTTTGAGAGTCAGTAGATCCAATTTTGCCCAGTTTCTGATTTCCTGGATTGCACTGTCTCCCAAAGGGCTTCCATTTTAAATTTTGACAGATTATTGATTCAGTATTCAAAAGCTTGTTTTAATTGAGGGCTGTTATGACTGTTGTGGTCAAACATTTCAGAAGTAATCTATAATGGTGTCAGAGTTTCAGTCTTGCTGGAAGCAAGTCCAGGCAGAGGCAGACACGAATATCCCTAATTAGCTAAACCAGTCTTTTCTGAACATAGAACAGTGCTAAGTCACTGAGCGTGTTTATTATTTCCCAGGGTTTGATACACTGATACACTGCAACCACAGCTAAGAACAGAAGGAAGCATTCTAAAAACAGCATGAGGGTGAGAAAGTTGACTGTAAAAGTGACATTAATTATTTAACAGGGATTTTTCATGACAATAGCAAAGCCAAGTTTTGTGGCACTACAGCAGCCAAAGAGGCATTCATCAGGGAGAAGGGCTCTAGACTTTCTAAATATGTTATTTTTTGTATGGCTTTACTAGGGGAATAAGTATTTTGAAGTGTAAAGAGAAACTGAAGAACACCCAAGCAGGTAAAAAGTCTATATCAATATAATAGAGTTTGGAAAAATTGGGGAGGGATGTGTAGCTTCAGAAGCTCATGTGATCAGCATGTATTGTAAAAGTTCTAGTTTAGCCTAAAGTGTTAATTCATGGCAAAACACCTTTAACAGGATTTCCTCTGTGCAATTGTATAAGCACATATTATAAAACAAACAAACAATAAATAAATTATCTCATTTGTGGTAGCTTTCGTATTCCCTCAAAGCTTTCTGGTTCTGACCAACATGATCATCTCATCTTTCTTGGAAGCTCAGGATGTATGTGTGTAAGCAGTGCAGTCACAGCCATGGTAAGCTGGCTTTAGATGAAGGGGTTTGAGATACAGCAGCGTACCAGTGACAACATAAAGCTTAGCACAGGATACAAAATAGGCTCCACTAGCACACACACCGCTTGATTCTGCCTTGTCTACAACATTTTCCGTTAGCTAAATGTCTTCATTAAGATTAGCTCAGCTATGTCCACTCTATACAGTAGTCACTGCAGATGTGGCTTTGCAATTTGCAGTGCACATTGCGGGTCATTATACAGGCATCTCCAGTACTTTGTATTTTATCTGTGTCAGCTAGTAGCTTGGGAGCAGAGAAAAGTATTTAGTAGGCACTGTGCTTCTTTTAATGCAGAGTAGCAGCTGGTAATAAGGTGGAAGTTATTTAACACAGCAGTATATTTGTGACTCACTAGTGAGCGCTTTGAGCATTAAGGCTACAATGCCTATTTTTAAACCGTAAGATCAAAAGATCTCAGGGCTGTCTCATTTGCTCATGGCTGTGGGTTCATGTCTCAGCTACCACTAAGCACTAGCTGGAAACAAGCCCTTAAATAAATGCTTTAGTTTGGCCTTCTCTTAGAAGTACCACTGCTAGGAGATGTGGAAGGACTTTGAAAGATCCTTAAGAGACCTGCAGAACTGTTTCACTGAAATAACTTCCATGCCAGCAAAGTTCTGATTTGCTCTCCTGTAAATACCCTTGCATCAAACCTCTGCCAATAAGCCTGCTGCTAGCAAACATCAACTGAAAAAGCGATAGTTTTGCAGTATCCTAGTTTTAGCCCTTAAACTGTAGGCAGCCTCAGACTCCATTATTTTTAGATTTCAATGGTATTTTAATGTCATTCAATATTTCAAATGCTACTATTTTTGACTTTCAATTGTGGTCATTGGCAGAAATGCCATTAACTTTGTTCTGGAACAACTTCATAACTATTTGTTTAGAAGAAACTGCTGCCAGGAGAGAAGGGGGTAATCCCAGCCCTTTCCCTATTCAGTCTTTTGGCATCTTTGCCTGCAAAGTTGCCAGTTAGGACAGCTCTGCAGTGTGGATGCTTATCCTCTCTGACAAGCATTGAATCATGTCACACAAAGTGTTGAAACACTGTCTGGCTTCCAGCTACTACAATACAATTGTAGCCTGGCCCAGTTTTGAACTAAGAATAAAAGGCTCTCCATCATGTCTTTAGTCTTTTGAGTCACGAGGTGGAGTTGTACAGATCAGGAATATAGAAGCATTTGGTTATGTCTTTACAAACTTTCTGGTATCAACTTAAGTACCTATAACCATGCATATTCAAAACAATATGGCTAAAAAGGCCATATTTCCTGTTTTTGAAATATGAAAATCATATTACTGTTGTTCCTCCTTAGACCTTATCTGCTGGGAGCTGAGGGCCAGAGTAGCTGTACATGTACAGGCTGTAAGTGCCAGCGAGCAAAGCTACAGTTAATGCTGAAATGCTGTTTCAAGTTCATACAATCCACACTTTAAAAAAATCACTCTTTGGCTGAACAAGGCAGAGCAAACCATGAGCGCATGAGCTGCACAGCTGCTTTCAAAGTATTACTTTTTTGCTGTCCTGTACAGCTGTGACAGTTAAAATGCACTCCGAGGCCATCCTCAATAGGGATATTTTCACAATTTGGGGGAAAGCTGGAATGAGTGCTATGCTAGGTGACAGCATTGCCTCTAAATAAAGAATTTTTACCATTCACTAGTATTTATGAGCACCAACCCACAGCTGTACATTACTGTGTCTCAGCCTCAGCTTCCCAATATGTCATACATGTGAATGTGTCCTTCAGGTGAGAAAGCTGCAGTACTTGACCCTTCATGTAAGACATGGGAGGATTTTTCCTCTGTGGCCATCTTGTAGCTGCAGTAAGTTTAGTTAAGAAGTATGGTTCCATGCAGCTAGCATTTGAAGTAGCCAGCCTTCTTTGCAGCAGACCTGTCTGATCAACCCCTCCTACCTAGGGCATCAGCTTCCTGGAACATAACGAGGGCTGTCTGATTCATTTGACAGGAGCACTATGGTGGGCTGAATGGGCTTACAGTCACCTGGATTGGGGATGGAAACAACGTTCTTCACTCCATCATGACAACTGCTGCAAAGCTGGGAATTCATCTGCGTATTGCAACTCCCAAGGTAGGAAAGCCATCCACATGGAGTAAAGAAGGCAAACTGCCCATTCTTGTCTCAGCCACATGGACAGTTACCAAGGGCCTCAGCTAGTGTTGTTTGCATGTATCTTGCATGCCAGCTTTCAGAACCAAGGTTCAGAATCCTGATTCAGTTATCTTGATGCAAAGCAGAAGTAATTCTACTGAGTCCAACTTCAGAAGGGTTGAGGGGAATTTGTGACTGCAGTATAAATCATGGAAGATGATAGTTCCACTTGTAAAAGTGTTATAAAGTCATCCAATGCTCACTCTCCCCACAAAACACTACAAAAATGGTTTCAGATTTGTGGAAGTGTTGCATCTTGGTTGGTTCACAGTGATGATGATGCATTGTAGTACAATATAAAAAATAAAGCAAAAAGTTTAGGTAAAAAAACCCTCCTATATATATATAGTTTTTTCATTCTGTAACTGTTCAAACTTATTTTTTCTTACCTTATCAGAACATCTTTCACCATTTTATTTCCAAATTAAACTTTCAACAAAATTAACATAATTTCCACTAGTTTTACCACTCTGAAAGACATTATTTTTCCCATGGCAAATGGTTCAATCAGTATTTTTCTAACCAGTGTTAATAATCAATTAAATCTTGTATGTAAAAAAAATCAATTAAATCTTGTATGTAAACCTATTGCCTTTTTCGGCAGGGCTTTGAACCAGACCTCAAGATAACTAAAATAACTGAGCAGTTCTCCAGTGAGGTAGGAACCTAAGAAATAGGCTAGTAGAGCAGATTGAATAGAGTTTATTTTTGTTATAAACAAAGTTGATGTTTCTTGTCTTCTTTATTCACATTAGTATGGTACCAAGTTACTCCTCACAACAGACCCTTTGGAGGCTGCAGACGGTGCCAATGTCTTAATTACAGATACATGGATAAGTATGGGGCAAGAAGAGGAAAAGAAAGAAAGACTAAAGGCATTTCAAGGTTATCAAATTACAATGCAGGTACAAAATTGAGATTTAGTTTTGTGGTTTAGTTTTCTGGATGCTTTTACAGTTTGCATTTATGAGAATCAACATCAGCAAAGCATGGGTTTGTTATCTTTTTGAGTTGGGGCTATGGAACAACCACATTCAAACCTCCATCCAGCTTGAAAAACTCACAAAAGTAACAAAGTTTGAGTTATCTTATACACTTCACATGGCTTGGCCTCTTGCAGAGCTTCCCAATGAGGCCTAACTCCAGAACATGGGCAGGAGTGTTAATCCTTCACTTCTTTATGACCTAAAAGCTATTTCTACCTTTGCATTTCCTCTTTGATACCAGAAATGATCCTTTATGTTTTATTTAGAATGAGCAGCTCACAGATAAATTCTTAAATGCCTGGGCAGCATTTGGGGCAATTTTGTGTTTATCTGTCAATGAATAAAACATCAAATATATGTCTTTAAAATCATCCAGTTGAAATGCTTATCAGCACAAAATCAGTTAGAGGATACACAGAATCATTATTAATTGCATAAGATAAAAAGGACATCTTCCTTGCTGATAGAATTACTGGTTTTATTGACTGTATTTTAACACAAATTCACAAAATACTATTGATGGTTATTGATGTCTCTGAACTGTCCTAAAATGCTTAAATTCATTGTTTGTTGGTATTAGATCAATATATTATGAGTGACAATATAAAAAGAGAAAAAATATAGCCTTTTAAATCATGGTTTATTATGTTCTTGTTACAATTATTGATAGATTATATTAGTGTGTGGCATTCAAATAAAGACTGCAATTTATTGATCCACTAGGTCCGTGGAGTTTTACTCCCCTACTAAAGCCAGAAGAACAGGAGTAAATATCTAACTTCTGTGAAGTCAGCACTGACCTCGTACTGACTTTCATGGGGATATTCCCATCTTTTTCACAAATGAGGAATTCTTTTACAATCAGTGGAATCCTTCTGAGTTCATCAGAGAAGTAACCCAAGTGGGAGCTAATATGGAATTTCTTAACCTTTTTACTAGTTAAAGGTTTTATTTATGTCCTCGCATGTTTTTATTTATGTATTTATTTTTATATGCTTTTTGATCTACAGACTGCGAAATCTGCTGCTTCCAACTGGACTTTTTTACACTGTTTACCCAGAAAACCTGAAGAAGTTGATGATGAAGTATTTTATTCTCCACGGTCATTGGTTTTCCATGAGGCTGAAAACAGAAAATGGACAATTATGGTAAGGAAAAAGGATAACAGTAGTTAGAAGTTAGGGTCAGCTTCTGTTTTACCTTACACTACAGGCTTGATTCAGCTTATTTCCTCAATAAATAGTGAATATTAATACATATACTTCAAATGCACCCCATAGTACATCACAGTTTTGACTACAGGCATGATATATATGTAGCAGAAATACTCCTGGACACAAATGTGATGTATTTTGATCTTAATCTGCTGTTGTTTGACCTATTTTTTATCACTAAGTGAAATCTACAATATAAACGTTAATTTTTTGGTATTTAAATCACTGGGTTTACTCTAATGATTAACTCAGCTGCTCAATTTTAATACGTGTCAAATGCTGGGGCCCCAGGGACTGGTGTTAGAAACTCCAATTTCCCAAACACTTAAAGCTTCTGCAGTTTTCTCTCAGGAAAAGCTGCTACTGACACCAATGGGAACTTTCCCTGAGAAAGTGATGCAAGAACAAAGCTTTAAAGGGCCTTGAAAAGTTATGGTGTGGGTAATACTGTGTGATCCATGGGAACCGTGAGAGGACATTGGCATTTAACATAAACCATAACTCCCGTCTCAGCATTCCTAGAATTTCAGCAAATTACTGCCAGATCTCAGGAGCCTGTTATTTGTTGTTGGCTTTAGAACCATGTTGACAAAAGCTAGTGAAAACTTTCAGAGGTGAAAAAAAACCTCACCAGAAATGGCATTGTCATAACTCTCAGATAAACTCTATGTGTGCTCTTAGTGAATAAGTGGTTGAGTATGGTATTTACTAGACCCTCAGATTTTACACGGTCCAATGTATTAAGAAATTTGTGTTAAATTCATAGTTTTAGTCTTAGAATTCAAAAAAAGTGATAACATTTTTTATTTTAAATTTTCAGTGTTTCTAATTGCCTAAATATTATTTTTTCAAAAAGAAAATAAACCATTTACTGTACATTTTTTCCAGCGCACATTTTTTTTTAGGGTGAGAAAAACGTCATATTTGTGTTTTATCAAGCTGGAAAAATAATGAATGCCTCGGTTTTGTGTATCTGTTATTTTCTATCACTTTCAGCTCAGGCACCAAAGTGGAACATAAATTATTTGCTCAGCTGTAGTCCCAAACAGGGCTGAGTGGAGGTACGACATGGGTAGCAGCAAGAGGCTGCACAGCTGGATATTCAGTCCCCACTGTGTGCCTGGGACTTCCTCTCACACTGAGCAGTGCTGAAGGGAAAGGCAACAAGATCACAACCCCTGAACCTTTGTAAATCAAGTTCTGGACCAAAATAACAGTCTGCAGTCAGATATCACTGTGAAATCACAACAGTGTGAACCTGGTAATATCTTGCCAAAAATCAAGCGTGAGGTTGTTGTGTATACAGGTGTGGGAAGGCCAGCAGAGCTGCTGCAACACTGTGTGTTATTTAGCTGACATTCCAAATATTCTCATTTCACAGCCATACCTTTTTGTTGTAGTACTAGAGGAGGGCAGGAGGGGTGGATGACACACTATTAACCTCAGTGAGGATTTTCCATGTTATAACTCAGAAAGTATAGCTAAACTGGGATAAATTTCAAAGTCCTTGTTCTAGTGTGGCTGTCATGGATGCTAATGGAAGTTCTGCTGAAATCCACAGGCAAGCCCACATGCTCTTTGGGCTCCTACAGAGTTTTCTAGCAGTAGCAGAGGATGGCATATAGCACACCAAAAAAAGGCCTCAGTGTTTGATCTAAATGCTTTGTCTGAATTTGGCCTAGGCTGTATATTTTGTCCACACTAAGAAAACCTATCAGCTGCAATACAGAACACCATAACTGATTTTCAGCTCTTTCCTGATTCATCATCAGAAATTCTAGCAAATAAATCGAAGTGGGCAGTTTTTGTCAGGACAATAATTTTCAACATAAGACTTTAGAGAAGGAAAATATTTCCCCCTTATTTATTTTTATGGAGTATCTGTTTCCAATGCGATTGGATTTTTTCTTTTCTTCTCTAGGCTGTCATGGTTTCCCTGCTGACAGATTACTCACCACAGCTACAAAAGCCTACATTTTAATGCTTGGATTTCTGCCAAGAGAAAAAAATTCCTCATCGGCAGAATATTCTGGTCTGCAAATACATCGATCTTCTTCAGAAAGGATCAAAGCAATGAATGCTTCTTTAATAAAACTGTACAGTTAGCTGTATAATATTGCATTACATCCATGACAATGTTCAAGACAATAAGCACCATTGCAAAAGCTGCTTTTCATCTCAGTGTTCCAGGCTGGCTATCCTTTCTAGTGGTCAGCATCACAGAAAATATTCCAAGGGTGTACTTTAACGATTCGCTTTACCAGCATCAGAGACATAGCATAGTCGACACCTAGCTGTGTTGGAACTCATATAGTGTAATGTGACAGACATAAACTTCTCCCTAATCCTGTGCATTTAATTGCTGATCTCAGGAAGTCTGTGCAGAGAAACAGTGCTTTAGTTTCCCTTGGTTGCCCACACTTCTGGCCACCCACCAGTTCCTGCTCTTGTTTGACACCGAAAATATAAAGACCCTGTGAGCATTATCTCCCTCCGTGACATTCCTGTGGGCTGACACAGGAGGATATTGCTGTGGAACCAGAATAGATCAGCTTCTGCTAAGTTGGAAGCAGCAAAGATGGATGGCTGAATGGAACCGGTTAATTCTTTGTCCATCTCCCCTAAACCTTCACTCCCTAAACAGAATTTTGGCTAAAGAAGCAAATTTTCTATTTCTTCTTTTCTAAGCAAACATGGGGGCACTGTAGGATGGAACTATACACAGCTCCTTTGTGGAAAGAATTTAGTGCATTTTGTCTGGCTCTGTAAGAGGTTTCAGCTAATCCTTCTCAGTAGTAAACAGATTCATGACATTTGTGGTTTTTATGATGGCTGGATGTGCATGTTTGATATTTCAGGTAAAGCTTTGAGAACTATCAAAACCCACCTTCTTTCTAACTAATTCTGATTAGTTTCAAGAATCTGTTGATTCCCCCACACACACACTGTAATGCTGGAACAATGTCTGTGATTTTTTAGAAATTCTGCAAATGGGTTTCCATTTCCCGACCTGGTGCAAAACACGATTTAATTCCTTTCAAAATTGGAGTCCACTCCAGATCACGGCACACAGATCACTGAAACAAAAATACATTTCTTTATCTACCCACTTATGATTGATCCGTTGTTTTTGCAGGAACTTGTGTGTCTCCTGTTAAAATTAACACTTTTCAACAATTAACTTTTTCAGCAGTTCAGTGATCATTTACACTTCAGCAGAGATCTAGGTGTGTCAACGGTGGAGGAATAGGGTATGGAAGAAATCAGTCTGTTACTTCCCAATTCAGAATGTGGAGGAAATACAGTATATTTCTGGTTGTAACAGATTCTGCTTTGTGAACTATGTTCCACTGCAGCAAAATATTTAAAAATACGGCTGGTTGTCTTGGAGGTAGTGAGCTGTTGAAGTGCTTAGAATAGTAGATATCCTTACTAACCTGGGTTTAGTGCTGCCTGAGAGTAAGACAAAGCATTTTGCTAGTCCTTCCATAAAAAAAAACAGTAGTTTTATTGTGTTGATTCATATACTATCAGTAAAGTTGTGCAGATTTATAATAACAAAGCTGTATTATGAAGTGTTTCATGGGGAACAGGTTAACAATTTTCTGCTATGCTTTTGCTTCTCTGTGCTCTGATTACAGCTAACATGCATCTAGGTTTTTGCAGATTCTTTCAATGCTTAGGAATCTGAGCAAGACGCCAGACATCTGAATCCCCTGGACACTTTTGAAACACATCCATAGATCTGCTGCATAACATGTGAGCAAAGGAGTCAAACATTTCTGGGGCTAATTTCATATGGTTCTATTCCTCTGTGAACATATACAGCAAAGGATGACAGTCCTTGCTCTATCTTGCACAAACTGCTCACAACATCAGCTGTTCTAATGCCTTTTGGATGTACTGGGTGGACTTAATGCACATGTCCTGAACAACTGACCACTGTGTAGAAGCAGTGAACATACTACGCATTTCTGCATGAAATACCCTGCGTGTATGCTGTGTGCTGGCAGCCAGGCACATCCCAGCAGGGCAGAGTTACTGAACACGTGCAGGCTGTCTGCGCAGTGCATGCAGAGCAGATCTGACACTTCCTGGAGGCGTTGGGCTGGTACCAAACAGGCAATGTACATTTCTGACCCAGGGACCCAAAAATATGGTGCCCTGAAGGGTTTCTCTTCTGCCTGAAGGGACTTTCACTGCCTCCCCACGCAGCAGAAGAGCACTGCAAGGATTAGTCCACTTGCGCAGGTTAAGCATCCGGGCATTGCGGGTGGTAGCTGTGATAGAATACAAGATTGTATTATTATGCCATCCAGACTCCTCACAAATTCTTTACTTGAATTCACAAGTGATGACTGCAAATGTGGTGAGTAAAGGAAACAGCAATAATGTGGAAAGATTTTCTAGGGGGAAAAAATAGTTATCAGCATTCAAGGGTCTTTCTTAAATGCATAACAGGTAGCAGTCACTCATAGCTTACACAGTTTTTCATTACATTTATTATGCTTTAACCAGTACAAGTGCTGTTTTCATTGCTGAGTGCACTTGCAGGATAGGGTGTTGCTGTCTCCATCTTTTCACAGAGGCTCCTGCCTGGATCCCTAGGATCCTGCCCAGGATTTCCTTCCACTAAAGAACCACTCCTCTGTTTGACCTAGAATACAGTCCTCGGCCAGTTTGGGTCATAGAATCATAGAATCACAGAATAGCTAGGGTTGGAAAGGACCTTAAGATCACGTGGTTCCAACCCCCTGCCATGGGCAGGGACACCTCCCACTAAACCATGCTACCCAAGGCTTCATCGAACCTGGCCTTAAACACTGCCAGGGATGGAGCATTCACAACCTCCCTGGGCAACCCATTACAGTGCCTCACCACCCTCACAGTAAAGAATTTCTTCCTTATATCTAATCTAAACTTCCCCTCTTTAAGGTTTAACCTGTTACCCCTTGTCCTGTCAGTACAGTCCCTAATGAAGAGTCCCTCTCCAGCATCCCTATAGGCCCCCTTCAGATACTGGAAGGCTGCTATGAGGTCTCCACGCAGCCTTCTCTTCTCCAGGCTGAACAGCCCCAACTTTCTCAGCCTATCTTCATACAGGAGGTGCTCCAGTCCCCTGATCATCCTCGTGGCCCTCCTCTGGACTTGTTCCAGCAGTTCCATGTCCTTTTTATGTTGAGGACACCAGAACTGCACACAATACTCCAAGTGAGGTCTCACGAGAGCAGAGTAGAGGGGCAGGATCACCTCCTTCAACCTGCTGGTCACACTCCTTTTGATGCAGCCCAGGATACAATTGCCTTTCTGGGCTGTGAGCGCACACTGAAGCTGGCTCATGTTCATTTTCTCACTGACCAGCACCCTCAAGTCCTTCTCCTCAGGGATGCTCTGAATCTCTTCTCTGCCCAACCTGTAGCTGTGCCTGGGATTGCTCCAACCCAGGTGTAGGACCTTGCACTTGGCATGGTTAAACTTCATGAGGTTGGCATCAGCCCACCTGACAAGCGTGTCAAGGTCCCTCTGGATGGCATTCCTTCTCTCCAGGGTATCAACCGAACCACACAGCTTGGTGTCATCACAAACTTGCTGAGGGTGCACTCAATCCCACTGTCCATGTCAGCGACAAAGATGTTGAACAAGACTGGTCCCAGCACTGATCCCTGAGGGACACCACTCATTACTGGTCTCCAGCCGGACATTGAGCCATTGACCACAACTCTTTGTGTGCGGCCATCCAGCCAGTTCTTTATCCACCAAGTGGTCCATCCATCAAATTGATGTCTCTCCAATTTAGAGACAAGGATGTCGTGTGGGACAGTGTCAAATGCTTTACACAAGTCCAAGTAGATGATGTCAGCTGTTCTACCCCTGTCCATCAGTTCCATAGCCCCATCATAGAAGGCCAGCAAATTGGTCAGGCAGGATTTCCCCTTAGTAAAGCCATGTTGGCTGTCACCAAGCACCTTGTTGATTTTCATGTGCCTTAGCATGCCTTCCAGGAGAATCTACTCCAAGATTTTGCCAGGCACAGAGGTGAGACTGACTGGTCTGTAGTTCCCTGGGTCTGCCAAATCTTACTCATATCTGACTGATTCAATAACCACCTGCTCCAATGTCAGCTCTGCATGCATTTGCATTGCTGTGTTCTGTTCCCTCTCCAGGACCAGGCACCAGCAGGGGCGACTGCCAGCCCAGTTTATCACCTGCTAGGAGGCACAAAAGGAGGACTGACCCCCCCTCCCCTCTTCCTCCTCATTGTGGGGCTGGTTGTGTGCTGCCACTGTATGTACCACCACATCTAGACCTCACACATGGACAGGCATGGTAGTTGTGCTGTGCCCCAAGGGGGTATACGTATGATAACTTCACTGTCCAAAGCCCAGCCACAGCTCCAGAGCCAGCACTAAATCTGGCTTTGATATGACCAGGGTAAAATCAATCAATGCAGCTGTGGGGTAGGATCAGGGGTCCAGTGGGACTCTAACATTAATCTTTTTAGAGAGATGAGGGTCTCAGAGCACGGACCTGGCAGATGTGATGCAGGACTGATCGTGCATTTACAGCAGAAACTGGTGGCTAGCAAGGACATCGTACAGCACCTCAGGTGGCCCTAGGTCTGTGCTTTGTCCCCCTCTCTGCAGTATTTTCATGCCCTGTTAGAGGATTACTCCTTTCCTACACCTAGACTTGAAAATGCATATTGCTTGTTAGTGATTTATGTACTCTGTAAACACTTGTTCTGCAGCTCGTTACCAGCAGTGGTGGGATTCTTTGGTTATCCTTATATAATCTCTTGAAAGTGATCTAACTTCAATTAGATATTCAGTAAAGGAAGACGGGCTAAATGCTTCTCTATACATTTCTCAGGGAGCAAGAACAACATTTTTTCCCTCTATAGTACAGAGCTAAGAGACAGCGCAGTAACTTCAGCAGGTGAGAGGCGTGCAGAAAGAATTTACAAATAATATCTCTAAGAATATGAGGAACAGTAACTTAGGAAGGACTGAGTGGGGAGCCTGGGGAATCAGGAGGGAACGAAGGAGAGTAAGAATTCTCAAACAGAATTAAATACATTACTTCCACCAGCTTACATCAGGAATGACACTGGGAAAAAAATCTGTAGCAGATTTACTCATTGTCTGGTAGCAGAAGCAGCCTCCTGTGAGAAGCTGA